GCCTCTAGCAGTACTAACTGAGTTTACCACAAGGTTTGATTAGGAAGAAATACCAAAACATTGATATGTGCTGGCCCTTGGTAGTTCTGTGAAAATCCTAGATCAATTCTTTTGGTAACATTAATTTTCTGGCCAGTTTTTCCCCCTGTATTCTCAAGTTTAAGTGGTCAGCTGCTTTGCTTCTCTTTGCTATATTATCTGCGTTGGTTCCTTTTTGGGGGTTAGGGGGACAGAGTCACACTCTGTTGCCTTGGGTAAAGTGTCATGGTGTCAACAGCTCACAGAAACCTCAAACTCTTGGCCTCAAGTGATCCTCTTGCCTCAGCCTCCCAAGTAGCTGGGACTATAGATGTGCACCACAACACCTAGCTCGTTTAGTACAGATGGGGTCTTGCTTAGGCTGGTCTTGAACTGCTGAGCTCAAGTAATCTACCTACCTTGGCCTCCCAGAGTGCTAGAATTACATGCATGAGCCACTATGCCCAGCCACCAATGCTGGTTCAAATCTGAACTCTGCCTCACAGTATGATGTGGGGATTAATGACTATTACTGAGAGCTAGACTACCCCAAAATCAGCAGAGTATTCAGGCTTGTGAGCCTGGCATCTGGGTGGAGTGCTTCTACATGCAAGGATGTTGAGTGTATACACACATGTTGTCTACAGGGAGTATTTTATTTAGCCACTGCTCCAGGACACATTCTGGAAGTGGAAGGACATGCCTGGGTTAAAGGAGACCACCAGTTTCTGAACTGGGGCCTAGGCTGATCAGGCAGCCTGTCTCAGGGAAGGCGACAAGTACAGGTGGATTGTGGTAGCCACCACTCATCTGTAAAGGTCTCCCTGGGTCTGGAACCAGGGCTGAAGATGGTGTCTGAAGATATAGGAGGGATATGATGGGACCATTCTGTCACAAGGGGAAGCATCCAGAGAAGGCAGGCCCAGAGTAGAAGTATGAGTGAGCTAAGACTCAACCCTCAGACCTGGCATGGTGTTCCTGACTTCTCAGTCACTTGAGCATTCTGCAAAGGACTGAAAATTACCTAAAAAGGGAGCTGGGCTAGGAATGCCAGGACACTATCATCACTTTCCCAGGAAAGTCTAACCCCACAGAGCCAGAGGGGATTATTTACCTTGCCCCTGTCCTTCCCAATTCCCTACCCTAGGAAGCAAGAAGACAAAGATGGGGAGCAGGGAGCCATGGCTGGATGTCTGCCCCATGTGGCAATGATCACCCACCCCCCAAGGAAGGGCCTGAGGCTCAGGCCACATAGCTGAGAAGTAGTGAGGATAAATCACACACCCAGGCTGGCCTGCCTCTAGGCCAGGCCCCTTCTGCAGCCCACACAGCCTCCACAGAGCCCTACAGGCCCTCAGCAGCAGATGGTAGTCCCAGGCAGGCAGCAGTTATTTGGGACCAAGCCCTAAATCCCACCTACCTCCCCCTTGGGGTACCGATACCGGTACTTGTCCTGGTCCCGCAGGGCGAACTCCAACGGATAATGATCCTGAATTTCCTCGTAGGTCATTTCCTCACAGACACCCTAAGAAGATAGTGCAGTCATTACACCTCCCCTCCATGGGAGACTGGAGATCAGCCTTGGGGGGCAGGGTAGGGAGGCATCAGGCTGAAGAAACCAGGCTCACTAAGCAAAGGACCTTCCTAGCCTGAGGTTTGGAACTTCTCTGGGGAGAGCAGGCTGTCTAGGAACATTAAGCATGGGTGGCCCCTCATTTTTAAAAAGCTGCCAGAATTTACTTGTTCATTCATCCATCATCCATCCATGCAGTTTATGCCATAAAAGTAAACAGAAATGCTAACTATATACTTTTCTTATGTGTCTTTTCTGTGCTGAGGAAAGCAGCACTTGTGAGCATAGACCATTATGCAAACTATGAAGCAAAATTTCATTTTTGTCATTTGCAACATACACACATACACACCCCCATAGAGTTTCTTCTACAAATAACATTCAGGGAAAAAAAAAAGGAGAAAGAGAGCCAGGAAGAATATTGATTGAAAATACTTAAGTGGGGCTGGGTGCAGTGGCTCACACGTATAATCCCAGCACTCTGGAGGGCTGAGGCAGGTAGGATCACTTGAGCTCACAAGCTCAAGACCAGCCTGAGCCAGAGCAAGAGCCTGTCTCAATCTCTCTCTCTCTCTCTCTCTCTCTCAAGAGACAGAGTCTCCCTTTGTCATCCTTGGTAGAGTGTTGTAGCATCACAGCTCACAGCAACCTCTAGCTCTTGGACTTAGGTGATTCTCTTGCCTCAGCTTCTCAAGTAGCTGGGACTACAGGCACCGGCCACAACGCCTGGCTATGTTTTTGTTGCAGTTTGGCCGGAGCTGAGTTTAAACCCATCACCCTCAGTATACGGGGCCAGAGCCGGGTTCAAACTCATCACCCTCGGTATATGGGGCCGGTGCCCTACTCACTGAGCCATAGGC